AGCTGGAATCCCGCGAAGCAGCAAGAAGAAACTGCCGTCCTTCCGGCAACACAAGGCATCACGTACTTGGCAGAGCCAGGTGGGTGAATGGGCAGGTCCCGAGCAAAACCCTCCTCAAGGCAGGACCAGAGGGAAGAGCCAGGCAGGAGGGAGCTGCAGAGCACAAACGAGCCGTCCCGGGCTGGAGGAGCTGTGGGACCTGCAGAGAACTGAGCTGGGGCAAACGCAGAGCGTGGAAAAGCAAAAGGACGTGACCGAAACGCGCTTTAGTAAGAGCTGCAGCTCAGCTGCGCAGGTTTAGCAGATGCACACAAACACACTTTTTCTCCAGGGCCAGGGGAGATGCAGATGTTAGGGGAGGAGGCTGATGAGTTGTGCTCATCCCGACTCTTTCATCCAGCCCCGAACGGCGCCGAGCCAGAGGAAAGCGTGGGCAGCGAAGCTCTTCCCACGGCAGCCGGAGCGTTCGCGTTGTCTCCCCAAGGACTCCCTGGGCACAACATGATTTCCTGTAACCCTACATCATCTCTATTTTAGTGAGTAACAGAAACCCACGGTGGCTATGGGGGGTTTGGGTGGAAATGCCTGCTCCGCCCTGTGAGGCTGCGAGAGAGCGACGGGAAGGTTTGATCGGCGCCGTTTGATCACTGAGCCGGGCCGTCACTCGGAAGCAGGTACCGCTTCTGGAGACGTCTTGAAATTATAGTAGCTCTTACTAGAGCAATAGAGCAGACCTTAAATTCAAAGGTAAGCTTTGTGGGGGTGTAAATTCCAACAGACTTTGTATCAGCAGCTTCTTCCCACCAGTACGATTCCTCAGATTACCTCAAGAAAAACACACCACCTACTAAGCCGTGAAACACTGGAAGTTGGAGATTTCTTTTCTTTCACGTAAACCGCAGCATTAGCCTCATACTGCAGAGGAATTTGGAGAAGAGCATCAGGGCTCAGGGTGGGAAATGAAGATGTTTAAGGGAAGGTTCAGGAAGATGCTGTTTTAAGAGGTTCAGTGTCAGCACGACCTCCAAGGGCTGAAAGAAAGGCTACTGGACAGCAATGAAGACGACTCCAAAAAAAGAAAGTAGCAAAGCAGTGATTTAAAAGATCAAGGGTTTTAGAACCACCTCTGGCTATTTCACAACCGCGGTTCTCGTGAACGAGCCAGCCAGAACAAATCCTGGAGCTTGGACAAAAAGACATCGCCAAGTTTGGTTCTTATTTTTGGGAAGGGTGCAGCAACAGGCCTCTTGTCCTGCCCGGCTAACAGACAGGAAGGAAAAGACCCCGCTCTTCATCAGTCCCAGCTTGTCTCGGCTCGGTTTTACCAGCCGGCTTTACCCGGCAGATCTGGGAGCCACCTTCTCCTGCGGCACAAAAGACTTTAAACTCAGAAATGAAGAGACTTCAACCCCCCAAAAAGTGTAATTCTGAAGTGCTCAACAGCCTTTAATTCATCATGAACCTAGAGGCAGAGGAAAAAATACGCAAAAAAAAATACATCACAGCCTTAATCTAGAAGGAGGGGAGGGGGGGAAAAAAAAAAATCATTATTTTTATAGCACATAATCAGACACTTACAAATATATTTCACTGGAGGAAAGGGAGGGGAGGAATGTGCATTTCCTATTTCCTTTTCGATAGTTTGATGCCCAGAGGCCATCGCTATGGGTGTCACAGAGAACCTGCACAAGGCATTCCTAAACCAAAGAGAGGGATCGCAAAATAAACCCAAAAAGGCAGAACCCTGGCAACAAGGAAGGGCATTCGACAGTTCCAGGTTCACGTTTCAACAGAACTCAGCATCTGAATACGGAGTGAGGAGACACACTTTTGTTTTTACAATATAAATAGTTATTTTAAAAAGGTACTACATATGAATACAGTAACGGCGCTATTTCAGTCAGGACTTGAACATGCAGAGGAAATCCCCCACGGCTCGCAGCCACTCGTCCCAGCCCACCCTCCCACCTCCAAATAAAATCCTCTGCTGTCAAAATTCTCTTTCAATTGTTTTAAATATTTCTCTCGCGGCCTGGCAACATCCTCGTTCTTTTATACAAGCAAGTTTTCTACTAAATCATGTCTTAACCGACAGGAGACAGCTATGTAGGAGTAACAACTGAGGCTTTTAAGATCCTTGCCAATTTTTTAAAACTTTATTATTAGTCTCAGTTTGTTTTGATTCTCGGAGACATCTATTGAAAACATGGAAACCTCAGAAATAAAAAAAAAAAACAACCCTGTTTCAAACGTCTGAAACACGCACGGCTGCACACGCGCACACACACACACACACACACAGAAAATAACCCGTAGCAGAGGCAGTAAGGAATAAAGGGAACTCCAATTCTCTCAGGGGAGAACAAGAAAACCAAAATAAAGCAAAAGAAAAAATTGCTTTATTCTATCTCCACTCTCTCACTAGGACAGTTTAATACCCATCGAGTCTCTTAAGATGCTAATCTACCATCTGCTAACCCACAAATCCTTCCCACTTACTCCCTCGAAGATCCAAGCTAGAGCGGTGCTTAAAAAACCTCTCCGCAGAACAACGGCCACCTTGCAAAGGGGCTTAAAACAAAAAAAAAAATCTTAAAAAATTGTCTTTCTGTCCAGCAATTTCAGGGAATTAAGCGGAACAGATTGCCACACAGCGCCCGGGATACGACGCAGCCTCGCTCCCCTTCGCCCCTTCCCGGTGCCGACTTTTTCTTTCCTTCCAAATTCAAGTTGCTCCTCCAAAGAGAGCGGAAGATTTCCCAGTGGCTTCAGGAGGGGTTTTGGATCAGGCTCTTTTTACAAAACGCCGCTCCGTGACAGCTCTCTGACCGGAGGCGATTTTCAAGCGTTCACGTGGGAGCTGCCCACTCCACACTTTAGGGTTTGGGGGTTTTTTTTGCTTTTAATTCTCCTTCGGTTCTTGGCAAACTGAGTCCAATGAAGGGCTCACGCTCCTCTTCCCCGGGAGTATCTCAAAGGCTCGGTCTTTACTTAAGTAAAGGATGTCACAACAATCAGAGATGTTTGGGGAATTTCTTCTTTAATAAGGATAAAGGAGGGGGGGAAAAAACAAAACAAAACAAAAAAAACCCCAAACATACAAACACCTCCCAGGCTTCTGTCATGGAATGATTTCTCCCAACTGTAAGGAGCACAACTCAAAAAATAAAAGAAAAAAAAAAAAAAAGACAACCGTTCCTAGGGGAGAGGTGCCTAGCGGAGAGCTCGAGCGATCCCTCGACGCTGGGGTCCGCGGTGGGGAAGGCAGGGGGGTGGCTCGTAAAGGAACTAACACGAGAAGCGGCAACAGAACGCTCACCAGAAGGGAACCCGAAAGCCATGCTGGTTTTTAACTAGAGAGCAACTGCGACGGCAAAGACGGGGCAGGAAGACGACAAGAACGGCCAAAACGCGGCCGCTTCTTCCTCGAGACCCTTCCCGGCGACGCGGGGCGGAAAGGCGCGCGGCTATCGCGTGTCCGTACGAGCACTGTCGCTAAGAAACAGCCCAGCTATGAAAATTTCCTCCCCAGCTGACGAAGATAGTGTTTCTTTAAAAAAAAACCAAAATCAACCCAGAACTTCCCAGGACATCGGCTCTTTCTCTCTCCCTCCCCGCCGTAATATTTCATTTGGGGATGAGGTGGGGGGGATTTAGTTTATTTTCTGGTTTAAAGCCATAATCTAGAAAAATGTTTTGCGGAAACTTTTGTTTTCCTATTTTTTGTTTGCTTTTTTTTCTTTTTTATAATGCTCATTTATAGAAAACTTCACAAAGGTGACGTCTATGTACAGAAAACACAATACCAAAGGCTGCTTCAGTAGTCAATGTAATAGCACCTTAAAAGACAAAAGAGTTTGACATATTTTAAAAAGTTCTTTTTTAAAGTTTTAACCCTTTCCAAGTCTTGGGGAAAAAGAAGAAAAAGGAAAAAAGAGAAAGAAAGAAGCCAGTCACAAAGCTCTATTAGTATAAACTCTTCCAAAGTCTCCGTGTGAAATGCTGTCTGAAGGTTTTTCAAGCTCCCTACTCCGTTGGTCAGCAACGCCTGGCAAAGTAGAGGTAGCGTGCAGCCAGGCAGGGTGTTCTTGCAGTCCAAACCAAGAGTAGATGAAAGAAATTCACAGCAGGCTATTGCACAAGGCTGGTCTTCTATTCCACAGTTTCCAGGTTAGGTCTGAGCAGGCTTGAAAAGGGTTATTTCATATTTTTAATTAATACGGGTTAAAACATGTTGCTCTGAGTTCCAGGCTGGTACTGCGTCTGCAGCAGGCTCTCCATAAAGGCCAAGTAATCTGGGTTCTGTCCGTATTCTTCGGGATTTCTTGTGTTCCCCAGCCGGGGACGTTTGGCTGGTCTCACTTCGTCTCCCGAAAATACATCTTCCTGAGGGGCCCCAGTGCTGAGGGACTGCGGGAGACACGAAAGGACACTGGTTAGAGGCACAGCAGGGACACAGGCAGAGACGCGGGTGCAAACCACGGGGCACGCCTGCGCAGGGACAGCAAGCGAGCGACCGGGTTCAGAGTATTTCTGCAGAAAAACGGCAAAACATGCAAAGCACGCGGTCAAAATCAGAAATCCCGGCTTCCGAAACCAAACTGGAAAGAGAAACCCTCGAGTTGCCTTCTTGCTGTTTCAGGGTGTCTTTCACTGCAGCTCCTGCCTTGTCATTCCTCTGTTCATCCCTATCCTCCTCTGCCTCTTTCAGTCCTTCCCAGCAGAAAGAAACTGAGGCTTTCCTGACGTCTTTAACAGACCCCAAAGAAAGCACTTGGGGATCACCGTGCAATCACCTCTGCTGGTCCTGCTCTTACGCTCTCTAACGAGAAGCATTTCTTGGTAGAAATGATGATCTCCCACGGCTTTGCTCCTCTGTGCTGCTGTCCTACATTTAAAGCACCGCGAGTATCGCTTCCTCAGGGCACGGTCTAACACTCCTGGCAGCAGAAAGCACGAGATCAGCCGGAGCTTTCAGCCAGACTCGAAACTTTCCACCTTGCATTCCTGTTCTAAGGCCCGATACTCTCCAGAGTGGAGACGTGTTGCTTTCCAAATGGTGTATTTCAGGGCTCAAATATACGGTCTTTATTATCAGACAAACTTAAATAAATTGGAATATGGTGCACGTCTTAGAAATTAATTCTAAGGTCCTTCTTTACCACCTTTCAAGATAAGGTAAATTACTAGAATTTATGCCAGGAGGTCTTGCTGAGGCAACCACGACAGAGAAGCCACCCAGAGCTATACTACAGAAAGCATTTTACACCTGGTTTTGGGGGTAAAACCCTTGAAGGCTTCATGCATGAGCAAACACAAAGTTTCCTTCAAACTGTCGGTCGTTCTGGCACAGAACTGCCTGTCCCCAAGCCATTTTTGACGACGCGCTTCGACCTCACGCTTCTGCCGGTGGCCACAGACTCGCAGGCTCAGTGAAACTCGGGTTTAACTGGGCACGGCAACTTGGGTCTTCTTCAAAAGGCTGGACCATTCTCTTTTTGTCTCAGGAGAGAGACAGAAGGCCAGAACCTTCCCGCGGGTTAACTTTGTGGATCTGTCCCTGTCCTGCAGCGACTGACGCGACAGACACTTAGAACGAAGATCAGGACTGTGTAACCTCTGCCGAGAAATCGGTCTCACTGATTGTTTAAATGAGATGGTTTTAAAGGTTAAAGGACCAGGTTTAAAGCAAATCTGGAACCAAAAAAGCTATGAAGTAAATCCCTCATGTTTTCTAGGCTCGGTAGTTCCTCTTTATGCAGTTAAAGACAGCCTGATCTTTTAGATTAAGAGCTTTATGGGTAAGAGCTACATTCTAAATCTCCTGTTTGGTGAGAAGCGAGGGTTTTGTCCCATGTCACTAATCAGAAACCACTTCACTGCAAGCCAATTCGCCTCACTCCTGATGAAAGGCAGAATGCCAGTCCGTAAAACTAAATTCATAGTGCGTAAAATGATAGGAACGTAATCTTTTAACCAGAGAAAGCAAAAATCAGATCCGAACACGTGAAAGGGAAAGCGATTTAAATGCTCCTCAAGCATTTGCATCAAGAACTCCTTCTACTCCACGAGTCTGTGACTGACAAGTGGTTTTACAGCCCCAGGAATCGGAGGCTGCGCTCACCTAATGTCAAAACAACACGCTAAGGAAACGTGAATGAGCTCTGCAAGCCACAGACATCCCGCTGCTGCTGCTCCTCCGTACTCACCAGGCGAGACTTCACTCTCTTGGGAAGCTCTTCCTCCAAGGTATAAATATCCCCACGCTTCACCATGAGTTGAGAACCATCTTCAAACTCGACCTGCGGAGCAGGCAGAAGACAAGGTAAGAACACCTGCAACAGTCCGTTCCCAGCTCCACGGCGTCCGGTCCCGCCGTGGAAACACCACGCGGGGCCAGCTCTCGCGGAGGATCCCCTCCTCTTGGCACCTCCTGTCCCCGGGGGTGCTGCAGGAGGAGCATCCCCAAGCTTCGTTATGGATGCTGAAACCCCCAAAGTGCTGGTTTCGGCGCTGTTCGGGCACCCGCCTCACCCAGCCCAAGTGGTTTCACTCAGCGCTGGTGCGGATCCTACAACAACTGGACCAGCACCTCTGCTCCCAGCCAGAAAACTAAAGATTTCTACTGATTTTTTGATTCAAATCTCAAATAAAGAAGCTTTTCACTTGTAATAAAAGGCAACCCTGTATTCAGGCCAAAATGGTAATGAGAATTTCTTTCATCTTAAACAAAGCATTTCCACACATCATAAGGAAACAACTCCAGTGACTAAAATACATTTGTATTTTAACGAGCAGAAATAGTCAGCCAGGTACAAGAAACGGTGGTAACTCCTCACATCAAACCTTTTTCACCAGGCACTGATTATATCATGAATTATGCATCAGATGTCACAGGAATGTTTATTCAGGGAAACAATCGTGCATATAAAAATGTTAAAAACGACTAAAAGTTTTTAAGGGCTCCTCGTTTCCTTTCCTCAAGACTTCTCCCGCCTTTCTCGAGAATGCAGGGGGACTTAGACCAGTTTAATACGGGGTGTCAGGTTCAGACGGGACAAATTAAGAAGGGAACACCAATTCTGAAGTTTAACAGCCGCGGCACAAGCAGATCGCGGTCTCCCAACGCGTGAGCTCAAGGTGCAGCAGACAGGCAGGATCTGCGACTGAGAGCGGTGCCATCCTGAACTATCCCAGCACGACTGGACCTTGTGTTTAAGCTCCAAATTCCTGATACCGCTTAGAACCCTGTTATGAAGCTACAAAAGAGTCATTTTGGCTCAAGTTTAAAAAAAAAAAAAAAGACATACACATCTAATCTTGGCACCAAAAATCCAGAACTGGGAAGCTACCACAAAATAAGTTTAAAATGCAAAGGCTAATCCATACTTTCTTCCTAACAAAACGGTTCCTGTGTTTTTAAATATAATCCCGTTCCAAAAGAGGCAAGAGAGATGCACCCTAAGCACTGAAAAAGTATCAACGTCGGGAACCAGCGCGGAAAGCTATTCAGGGTTTTTTTCCCCTGTGGAGAAGAGCTTTACTTCTAGGTAACTGCATGATTTGAAAAACACAGGCTCCTCATGCATATTTTCATCTGGCGCTATCAGTGGAATAGCCTATTCCAAATTATTGCACCTTCGAGAAATCAATGACAATTTCCTGCGCTGTGATTAAAGTGGAAAGCACGCGTAACGACGGATCTTCACGGAACCGATTCATAACCAGGGTCGCCTCAGATCACATCCTCTCTGAAGCTGTTCCCATCCATCACACGCAACAAGACCACCGCGAACTGACACGGCGGGTCAGCCTGCTCTTTGCGCACAGATATCAAACACTCGTGGGTAGGAAAGACAGAAGCCAGAGCTCCCACAACTACAGGACATGGCACTTTTTGCTTTTTGCCCAGAGGCCTGGGTCTATCCACACATCCAGGTTCTGCCACAGAAAACCTTTATCCTGATCCTATTTTAATGCTCTACTTCTCTTTAGACTTCCAGGCGTATTAAGTACAGAAGGCAAATCCTTCCTTCACTACCAGAGCAAGGATTCAACCCTCTTGCTCGAATCGCACAGCTCACCAATCGGACGTGTTGGCACGAAGACTTTTCCGTACTCACCTGGTAAATCTGACTGATCTGGGCTGCAATAAACTTGGCCTTATAGACGATTCCATCTGTCCACTGCAGCTGAACCACCTCACCCTCTGGAGGGGGTCCCAGCTTGATGCAGTCTCGGCTCTGGAGACACAAAGTGAAAGAGGTCAGAGCCAACACCAACAAAAGAAGTAGGTAAAGAGGTCTCCCAAAGTCAAGGAAGTTGCTACATAGCGCTATCACTAGGTACCCAAAAGTTGTGATTAATTGGAGTCATCTCAAAACCAAGCCCCCTTCTCCCTGGAGATGTTCAAGGCCAGGTTGGATGAAGCCTTGAGCAACCTGGGCTAGCGAGGGGCGCCCCTGCCCGTGGCAGGGGGTTGGAGTAGATGATCTCCAAGGTCTCTTCCAACCTAAGCCATTCTGTGGCTCTTAGAGAGACCAGAAAGAGACACCCGCACCTCGTTCTGGTGACAGTAACGTTCTTGGGAATTCCTCAGGACAAATCCCAAACTATCACATCTTCCGTATCAACAAAAACAAGCGGATTTTTTTCTGCACCATATCGCGAATCAAGGGCACGCTCAGGAAGAGAACACGTGAGCTGACAAGCCAGCCTCTTCCAGACCTTCCTTCTATTAAATGAATTCCCTGGTTTTGGACCAGAAGTGCTCGCAGACAATCTGCTTCCCCCATGAATCACACTTGTCAGTCGAAAAGGAAGAGATTACTCAACCACAAAACAAATAGGACGTGGCTTAAAGCAAATATTGCTTTCTGTTAAGTCTGCATACACCAAAATCACAGCTTTGCAATGGAACAGAGAAAAAGAAATGAGATAATGCCTTAAACAAGAAAAACAGTAATGAAGAGCAGTGCGAGTGCTTCTGCACAAGCAGCCGATTTTCCCAAGTTTTACTTTGTTGTTCCACCCCAAAGCGCGCAGAAGAGGAAGGCACGCGTTACGCTCTGTGCTTGTTTATGATGGAAATAGTCTCCAGAGAGAACTGCTTACAATAATGCTTTCTGGGTAAACGTTGTCACTGTATGAACCATCATCAAAGTTCACTTCATAGAAAGTCTGTGTCGTCATGCCAATCACTTTACATCTGTAGTAGAGTCCGTTCCGGTTCTTTGTGATCACAGTCTGTCCAAGCATCACCTCCCTTCGAAACTGAATCTGTGGCGGAGAGAAAAGGGAATATTTCGCAATCAGCGATCACAAAAGCTGCGTCGAAAATACAGCGTGCGGAGAAACCACTCAAAAAAACCCACAAACCCACAACCAAGAAAACCCCTCCCCGAACACGTACATTCTGGTTAGCTGCCTTGTGTTTGAAGCAGGTGATGGACACAACGTAGGGCCAGTCGTCGGGCTCCATGGGGACGCCGGCGGCGTGCGCGCACGTCACGTGGAAGGAGGTGGAGCAGTGCTCGTAGGAGCATTGGATGCAGGCGCCCGACACCTTCTTCATCCGCTTCCGACAGTAGACGCATTTCTGAAAAGAAATGCAGATCTTTGCAGACACACGGCTGGAAAACAACCGTTGCGCTTTTTGAAAGAACAGAACAACTGTGTGATAGTTTGTCCTATTATATTTAATGCAACATTATACCTATTAGACCTAATAGACTCTAATTTTAGATAACGGAACAAAAATATCACGTTGATCGTACACACATAAACATATCGACCGTAAATGTCTGACCGGTACCCGTGTCACATTAGCTACCGTAGTTAAGTCAGTCATTGTTTTGCGAGCAGAAGAAATTGAAAACATTCCACCAAACATCAGAATTAGAGGGAAAAGAAAGGTGTGAAACACTCTGTAGTTTTTAAACTCCTTTTCTGCAAAATGGATGCAGTTATAGGCCAATCTAATCAGACAGCACTTGGGGGGACAGGTAATCAACTTAAGACGCGTGACTCCTTTAAAAAGAAATCCACGTTTTTTTCAAAGCTAAAAAATCTTACGGCACCGTAGACCTGGCAGCAAGTCGGACACGTGTGTGATGTTTCCGGGGAACTATCTGGAAACGTTATTCTTAGCTTTTAACATTTTAAGGCTAGAGAACCTGTCACTGATCGATGTCAGCTCCTTTACCTTATCTGGGGCTTGGACAAAGCAAATCAGGGGAAAATTAATATCACGCACGTGAGAACAAACACGCGTTTTACTTGTGGAGTGAACGGCTCATAAATAAAATCCTGAGAGATATTACATGCCCATGAATCTGACTATACAGCTGTGTAATTTATTTATTACGAAGAAATAATTTCCACGTATAAGGAGAGACAGCGGAAAGGGGTAATTTTCTGCACCCATTTCCTACCTGGAAGCCCACCAGGCTGGCTGCTGCCCCCAGGTTTGACCTCCTGCCTCCCTCTCCATCCATCCCCTCACCTACACACCCACGACAGGTTCTTTTTCTCTCTGATATTCCACAAAGCCTCTCTTTCCCCCGCCTCGCACTCCTCACAGCCTCTCGTTTACCTCGCTCAAAGTACGCAACGTTACGGAGCACACGACCTAAATTTTTAAGATCCGTGTGAGTTACTGGAGCCCAAGGGATCAGCAAACGGAAGGTAAGCTGCCCGAGATCACGCAATAAGGCAACGCAACCCCCAGAAGTACAAAACGACTCTCCTTCTAGATCCGAGCTCTCTGAAAAACCCTCGGAATAGATGAATCATATTGCAAGCTACCCCCTCAACGCAAAATAGGAATTGCCAAATTTCGATGCTACGTTTTATTTGTGTTATCTTAGCTAAGAGCCAGGGCCTCGCTGGCCAAGACAAATAAAAGACCATGCCTTCCCTCCTCCTCAAAAGCAAAATATGCAAAAGAAACTATGACCCTTCCCTCCCTATTTCTGTGCAACATCCCCACTCCCCGCCCGGGCTCTGCCCCACGCGTGTTCCAAAGAACCCAGATTCGCCTCCTGCAAATTAACCCAAGTCAGGGTGTTTACATCAAAGATTAATTTGGCCTTTTTACTGAAGCTAACAAAAGCCAGGAAATTCAAAGCCAGAGCCTTAGCGTTGCCAGAATGTGTTTTTTCAGTATTTAATAAGCCCTGCCTTTATCGCTCTGCAAACCGTGTTCGAGAGCCAGATAAGCGCCGCGGCAAAGCGCGCAGCAGGAACGCGGCGCTGAAAGCAAGTCAATAGCGACGAGATCTCGTTATTAAACTGCCAATACCTAATTCTCCCGCCAGCAGGGACAAGGGCTGATATACGGCGTGCTCAGTACCGCTCCTCCGGGGAGCATTAACCCTCCCCTCTCAGGAATCTGCCTCTATTGATGTCAATGGGATTTTTCCAAGGCAGAAGGATTTGCATGCACCGACTAATGACACACCAGCAGCAAGACAAACTCCTCGTGACATGCAAAAGACGGAATATTCAGAGCAAATTGTGATCAAAGGATCAAGATAGACGCGAGGCTGAAATGTAAGAGATGGTGGGAGGGGTGAAAACGCAGATGTGGGGGGGTGGGATGGACAGAAGCGGCGGTGCTGAGCTACAGCTTTACGTCGACGTAAAGACATTTTCTGCAGAAAGCAAGGAAGCAGGAAAAGAAAAGGTTTAAGGCAGAGGAGAAAAATCTTCAGAATAAACGCACACCGGAGAGCCCGGTCATAGCTGAGAGTAAGAAATGGGCTGTCTCCTGCATGATGAACACTGCAATTCATTTACTCCACGGAGGACTGACAGCTAATTATTCCAAATTTCCACGTCATAAATAATATATGCGCACGGGCCCAGAATAAGCCATTAATCAGGAAGCATGCAAACCGCATTCTTTCAAACGATGCAAAGCCCACAAACGGGCTAGAAAAGCCTGTGCTCGAAAGGGGAGGCCTCGTGCATGCTCAAAGAACAGGCGACACCGTTAAACAGATCACCGAGACTCCTTCCTACCTCGGCCATCTCACGGTAACTTAATATAAACATGTTTAAAAAACATAAAATAACCTCAACCTGCACCTAAATCTCACTGGACGAGCCAGAGTCAGGACAGATCCTGGCAGAAATTAAACAGCTTTACAGCTCTAGGAAAGTCATTCTGGCTAAGATGAAGCCGAGGTGCTTTGTATCAACCTTCTCCACCTTTTCTGAGGCAAAGAAAACACGAGGTACAAATGGAACCTAACACTGAAGAAACCAAGAAACCTTTAACTGAATCCTAGAATGGCTTAGGGTGGAAGGGACCTCAGAGATCATCTAACGCAACCTCCCTTAACCAGCCCAGGTTGCTCAAGCCTTTATCCAACCTGGCCTTGAGCATCTCCAGGGGGGGGGCAGCCACAACCTCTCCGGGAAACCTATTCCAGAGTCTTGCGAGCCTTGGACTGAAGAATTTCTTCCTAAGATCCAACCTAAACCTCTTCTCCTTCAACTTAAACCCATTTCTCCTTGTCCTGTCACTGGACACTCTTGTAAAAAGTCCCTCCCCAGCCTCCCTGTAGCTTCCCTTCAGGCTCTGAAGGCAGTGATAAGGTGCCCCCAGAATCTCCTCCAAATTGATAAAAGGAAACAGCACGATGTGTTGGTGGGTCTGTGCAGAGGCTTTGGAGGGCCCTGCCAACGCTTCAGAGCGGAACAAAACAACAGTTGTACCTACACGAACGCTGCCCTGGCTCTCTAGGACGGCCCGGCAGCCACAGAAGAGTTAAAGAATTAAGTCGTGTTTCCTCGTGAGGCTCCATTAAGCAATACAAGCGAGTCTTGTGTAAAAGGATTTTTAGTTCATCGTTACAAGTGCTGGTAATGAAGAGGATGCATGCTGGAAATGTCAGATGATCCATAAAGAACCACCGCTGCACGATTTATCACATCACACCGCTCCATCGCTCCACCTGAATAATGAATGCTTTTTACATCCACATTTGTGTACCAAACCCATTTGCACGAGAGAGAGGAATAACTGGGGAAGCAGACAGAGCCTCGTCCTACCCTCTCATCCACGCCCGGGCTGGGCTGCCTGTGCTACCGAGCCGCACCAACACCTCGGTGCTAACCAACGTGACGCTGTGACATCGCCCTCCCCCAGCTGTCACCCAGCTGACTTCTGTACGGAAAAAGCAGCAAAAGCACCATTTATTTTGCAAAAATACACACTGTAGCGATGGGGCATTAACTAACATTAAGATTAATTGCTCTGGGCTAATGAATCAGCCATTAGTAATCCCTTGGAGGGGGCTGCGCAACTAAATAACTCATAGCTGGACTTTTATTAAATTCCTTGCAGTCTCGCCTTGCAGTCACGGTCACAAAGAAATGTTTATTAATTTCTACAAGAGATTTCTTGATAGAAGAGACTGTAAAGAAAGAGGAATCAAATTAGAGACGCACGAGTCAGCAACATGTCAGCTTCTTTGTAGTCACCACGTCCCTTCATGCTCCTGCCGCGCAGCACTGGCAGCAAATGAAGATTTCAGGTAGTTCAGCCCTGACTGTGAGGTGGGGAAGCGTCCTGGGCTCTACCCAGGGTAAGAGCACACTCCTGGCGAGCCAAGGCAGATCCAGGAATCACAACTTATTTGTGTGTCAAAGCACTGAGGCAGTACCTCAGAAAACATTTAAACGCCACAGCTTCCAGGTGCACTTGCTGGAAATAAGAGTGAGAACATCACCTCCCGTCTCAGCTACGTTATGATCCCACACAACATTTTTCTGTCTAGTTAAAGCCTTTTTCTTTTTCGTTTTTTTTTCGGCTCTTGTTAACAAACACTCTCTACAGGGAAAAGACACCTACCAGTTGCCATCTCTGCTCTGGAATAGCACTGATATCCACAGGATGACGCTCTATTACATTGAGAAAACGAGCCTCGGGGACAGCGATGGCACAGATTATGTGGATCCACCTGGGAAAAAAAGCAAAGAGACAAATCAGAGCCTACCAGCATTTGAATTACATACTCAAGAGGGCAGTTAACATTTCTGCGACTCCCTCAGTATCGAGGCATATTTATGGTGGCTGGCAGCCTCGGCAACATCACCAACCGACTGTTAATCACGGGCACGCAAGGTAAATGTCTCTGGAACAACAGGGATCAACTAAACATTCTCTGAGAAGACTTTTCTCTGAGAAAGAACCAAATTCAACAAGTGTTCAGAGCCATGTTACCTCTGCTATCGAGAAGCCTGGTGCAGAGTAACGGTTAACTCACGCTCACGCTGCCAAGTCAGCGAGTAGGAGATACCTCCATAATGCCAAAATTAGCTGCCACACTGGGCATCGAGACCAAATTCACAACACTGGAAGATCAGAGGTGGTAGAGAAGGAAAAAACATTGAAAAGCCATCACTCACCGCCCATCAGTGGTCATCTGAAGAGCTCCTCCCCTGAGATTACAGAGACAACATTCCTGTGGGAACAAAGCTCCTTCAGAACTGGACCAAAGAGCTCTGTTAGACTGCCAATCTTTCCCAAAAAACTGCCTAAGCCCCATTCGGGATGCAAAAGCCAACTGAACCCCCTCCCAGCACCCATGACCAGAGGAGCGGACGCTTACCGCTGCCCACGCGTTGGCTGAGCACCGTGAGCAAGACCAGCTCTCATTCACCAAGTCTGGACGAATTCCGTAACAGCCTGAAAGAAACCAAGGTATGAGATCCGTCAGAGTTTTGCTGACTTATCTGTAGCATTGACTTGCTGCCTTTTCAGTTCAGAAGCATCTTTGAAATCAGGCAGAGCATTTCAGTATTCAACAGTCTGGGCTCAGACAGAAGTCCTAAGGAAAGGCGAAGCTCGAAGGTGATGCCACATTATTGCTGGAATGCATCCCACACCCCCAAAGTCAGGACTGCTGAAGCAGCCATCTCTGCTAAGTAGTGTTATGAGGAAGGACAAATCCACTAATGTTACAAGGAAATTAAATAACATGCATTTCACGTACTTAACAGTATTTAAACTAACACTAATTTCTGGTTATGTGAAGCGTTAGAAGCATCTGACTTTCCAGAGCGTCGACGACTCTAATATGCAAGCACCAAATCCTCCTACATGCCTCTCTGCAGCCCCAAAATAGCAAAGTGGTATTATATTCATTATAAAGACAGGGAAATAAGACCGAAAAAAGCCTTTAAAATTCTGTAAAAGCCACTGAGGTTTGCCACTGAAGACAATAGGGACAAGACATACAAATACTTCTGAAAAATTGCACTGACGTGATTCCCCGCAAGCTCGCAGAGAAAGCCTGGAGCAGAAAATTAAACCTATCACAATGGCTGGCCAGAATTCCAGCTAATACCAAGTTCATCCTACGGCCTTCACCTGTCCTAACAAAACAACCTAAAATTTCAGCTGGAGAGCCTCCAATTACTGAATTAAACTTAAAAGAAGTTACTCAGAAAGCACGGAGATTGCCACAATAACCTGATTTATAAAAATCACCCACTTAACCAGATAAACGTTACGTCGAAAAAAAGTCAATAATATAGATCTCCAGCTGCTTCCCACATCTGAAGTCTCTTTTCCTCACATGGCAAATCAAGAGAGCCGACACAAGCCAGCCCTAGCAAAGGGGCAGGAATGTCAAGTCTGAAAAACTGAGCTGGAAATCGAGAACCCGACGCCCTTCCCTGCAGCCCCAAACCGGGGGAAATGGGCTGAAATTTCGGGACAAGGCAAGTACGCTCTTTTTGAGGGATTTTCTCAACACTTTAGAAGACCAGAAACCTTCGCAAAAGCTTTCTTATCTTTACGTCCTTGCTGCTGTGACAGCTCAGCACAGCCTGGTGAGGGCACTTAATAAGAAGGAGGCTGCCAGGTTAATCCGAGCACACCTCAGCGCTGCGATCCTGCAATAAAAGGAAACGGGTTCTCTGCAGAGAGCCAGAGGGATGTCGCAGTCTGGAGTACAAACAACAACATGGAAACCCCCCTGGAGACCACACCAGCCTAGATTTAACTTCTGTCCTATCCTCAAGGGTAGAACACAGCCGAAATAGAAAGCGAGATTTCTCTCAAATCCATCTGGGGCTGTAGACTAACATCATCTCGCCCACGTCCCTCCGTCCCCAAACAGAATTTGGCCACTGAAGCCATTTCCATCACCCAGTGAAGACCTACTGAGGTAGAAGATGCAGCATCTCTGCAAAAGAGGAAAAAGAGCAGTCTTTATCCTACGCTCGCTCTGCATCGCGCTCCCTGAAGTGACCAGAATCACGGATGCAGCCCAGAAAGAAAAGTTGTGTCCTAGCTCCCCGCAAGAGACCGTCCCGTTGAGCCGCCCGGCGACCTGATAGATTGGAACAACCCGAGTAATTCCAGCTGATGCAAGTCAAATAAGATTTCCCATCTGTCAAGATCAAACAGCTGAACTGTAACTCGTCGCATGTCCTAGCAGGAGCGCTGATGTTAACTAGATGTCGTACAACCTACAGCGAAGGCACACTCGACCAGGATTAATCAGATCTTCTTTTAGCGCAACTATCAGGGAAACAAACAGACATATGTTCCTTTTGCAATCAAGTGCCATTCCTACAAGCAGAAACACAGACACTAAGAAAATATATCTCAGAAACTGCTCCGTAATCCCTGATGTGCGCAAGTACGATACAGCCTGCGCCAGGAGACCAATATTTAAACGAGAAAAAAAGTGTGATCAGGTTTGTGATTTCTGCTTTACTCCAAAAAAATGAAAGGTAACATAAGAATCATCATAGAATCGCAAAATGGCCTGGGTTGGAAGGGACCTTAGAGAAAGAATCTTTTCCGTGAGACAGAGAAGAACACGGCAACAAAACAAACAGCAAAAAGAGTATTTGTGTGTAATTTTAAATCGGTGACTGCCAGGGTGGACTCGTGTACACGCATGCTCGTACCAGAGAAGGAAAAAGTGGGAGTGATGGGTATCACAGGCTTGTGCAGAAGGAGATCAAACACAGATTCGATTTCAAACAGGGAAAGAAACTTGTGAGTTTCTGGAAACCCAAAATGTGAAGAAGGAAGCACTCACTAGCATGAACCTGCAGGCAGCATTTGGCACAGGATATCAAGGGACTGGTTCCGTCCTCTCCGATGTAGGAGTTTGAGGGAAGGGGCTCTGTGTTTTCGCCACTTGAGGTAAAGCACATCTCCGGGATCAGAGGCTTGGTCTTTTGTCCGCACTTAGAAAGGTGGACGAAAGGGGTGGGCTCCCCTACGGACACGGGGACAGCTTCTTTATCCATCTGTAAGGACTTAAAAGAGAAAATATCATCATATGGCATCACCTCTTCCCTGGTTACAGTTTCACCTTCAAAGTCAGAGCGTTCCCCTTGCAAAAAAAAAAAAAAGTCATCCAACATCTCACGTCACGCAGCAGAAATAATGAACTTCAAATCCTGTCTCTTCATGCACACCCCAGCCCTGCCTTTTGCTCCTCTCTTCCCTATTTCTCTTCTGCAAAAATCTAAATTTCTAAATTGCAGCTGAAAGCACCAAGGCAAAAAAAAAAAAAAATTAAGAAAAGCAAGACCTTCCCTGCCCCTCTTCCATTCTTTTGGCATCCTTCCCTCCTCTTTCTGCAAGAATTTCTCCTGAAGGACATTTCAAGGCTTCTGGTAGGAGACCAGAGCTAGAACCATTGGATTAAAACAGCCCAGCTGCACCCGGTTTTCCTTACGACCATTATACAACAGCATCCAGCAATCAGAACAGACATTTTATTTTCAGCCTGTATAATAAATCAAGAGATTTTTATTGAAGTGGGAGGTGGGTTGTGCTTTTCTCAGAAAAAGCTTCCAACGCATATATATGCATCTAAGGCACGTATTCCTGGTGGACACACAAAGCCCGATTTGGCTCTAAAAGCGTGCGGGAACAAATCAATACACAACCGGGCAAATAACTAATTCATCAGATAAATTCTGCCTTTCTGCTCATAACATATCCCAAAGCATATTGGTCGTTTCCAAGAAATGATGGATGTGCTTACTCAGTAAATTTTTATTTCGCCGCTTGTTTGCACAGATTGAGGAATCCGGGCCCGTATCTAAACAAGCGCGATGGCACGCCCGGTGCGGCATCGCTTCTCTGCATGAGATAGTGTTTGCGCTGCAAAGCTCTTTAAGCATGATTTTAAAAAAAAAATAAATAAAGGAAAGCTGAGAAAAGCCAGGGAAAAATATAATAAAAAAAAAAAAGCTCCATCCACTGCCTCTCCCAAATCCAAAGATGTTTCCTTCGCGTGCAAATTTGCAGAGATTCTCTTTTTTAGGACAAAGGGCTGCATTGTAACTTGGTAGCCACCAGGCTGGCCCCGCCACCAACACGTCCATCCCAGCAGGCTCAGGACTTACCTGGTTGTACGGGTAGAAGAGGGTACAGACAGCACAGTAGGGCTCACTCAGGGCAGCAGCTGCGTTGAATTTTCTTTCCGCTGGGAAATTATGTACTTTATTCTTCCACTGGAGGGAAAGCAAGGATTTCAAAGCTTCTGGGTCACTCATATCTTCCTCTCCAGAAAATGGAAATGTTTCTAGAAAGTTAAAAAAAAAAAATAAATCTCAAAACAATGGACAGTGAGTAGAGGGAAAACAGTCTACAGAGAGCAGAGGCAAAATGCAGCAGGGTAGGGTTAAACAGCCAATGTTTCAACAGCACAAGAAGTTCAATAAATCCATGGCTCCTCAAATACTTCTGTAAATGGATATAATCTCCACTTTACGTGTAGGATAGACATGATTGGGACACTGATGACCTCACAGAACTGGTCATGAGGAAGAAGGAAGAGAATCGAGTTCTGCTGCTTTGTAACCCGCTCCACTCTCCGGCTGTGGGGACCTACACCACCCTCTTAAAGAAGCCAAGTTCAAAACACACGATTTGACATTTTAAGACATGAGCCAAAAAATATGTTTCTCCAAATTTTAGTCAAGGCACCTCAGGAGATAGGCAAGGATTTATGATAGCAGCCAAATCCATGAAACCAGCATCATAATCCAGAGTGACAGGCAGAGGAAAAAGGAAATGACTGCCGTGCCTTATCATCGCCCTCACTCACCCCAGGACGGATTCTAGATGACATACAGCGTTCAGGATGGCTCTTACATTTCAAGCAAGTTTTAAGTGAGTAAAAAAGACTAACAATTTGTCTCAACTCCATCTTAGCATAGCATATGCCTCCCCTTAATTTAACACGCTCGCTCTTCCTCGCTGCAGCCTCCAGATCCTCCTTATACATTCGCCCGGAAAAAGCGAGGAGTGCAGAGAGCTGCTGCTATTCCCTGGCAGGGAACAGAAGAATCTGTCTGATCAGGTTTTGCCCAACAGTGCTGTAAATCAGTCCCCAAGAAATGGCAGCTTGCACAGAAAGTTCCTCCTGAGTCAGCCAGCAAAGTGCCCGTGCACCACCCAACAAGCCAAAACAGTGAAAAGAATCCGGCTGACGCGGACCCTCCGGCACAAAGCCTGTTGTGAGGTCTCCCACCAAAACAAGGTAACGAGTCTCCTTTCAACGCTTGGCTCCACGTTACACACATGCCAGACACCAAACGCATCACCCTTGGTAAAGAAACGGAGCTGTGTGCGCACAGCACATCCCCTTCCTACGCAAAGCTTCTCTAAAATCAGTCGATATATTCTGTGAAGGGAAGCAAACAGGAAAGATGTTGTCCTTTTGAATGTAAAATCACGAGTACCTCGAAAGCAGGGGCTGCCAACTACACCTTCAGGTACGTGCCCCAGCAGGCAAAGGCCTCTGGCTGTGGGCTTTTCTGTACTCGAGTACTTTATTGTGTGGGCAAGACCCAGAAGTGCTGAATTACAGCGCACAACACAAGGGAGAGGCAAGAGCCTTCCTCGCTTGGTCTAGACTGTTACGGCATTCGCAGCGACGGGAATATGGGAAAGGAAAAAAATCAGTGCTGTACAGTTAAGCACTGAGAGGCTTTCTAATTCTCATTTCTGGATCTGCCAAGAAAAGTTGGACCCCAACTTTCACATGAATTAAAAAGCCAACCAAAAAGTTAGAATTCACTTTCCCTATACCCATAACAGCAGACCTAACCTCCACCTCGCTGCAAGGCGAACGGATCTCATCATAATGCAGCAGCAAAGAGGGAGCTTTTACTTTAAGATGTTATTTTCCATGAACTCCTTTTTCCCTTTGCCCAAAACGCTGCCTCACTCTGCAACCAGCAAAATATTTTTCTTGGGAGAAAAAAAAAAGGGTGGGAGGCGAGAAGGGACACTTCCCACGGATGAATTTTGTTCCCAGCTGGGTTATCAAAAACGGGAACATGCTGCATTTGCTATCGGTTAAGCGTAACACAGAAAGTTTCAGGCCATCCAGTTACGTTAATGGCTTCAGCAGTTTTTCAGATCAGACAAGACGAACAAGTGTTCCTGACGCTGGTGCACTCACCCTCGTCACTCGAGGTCTCCTGCTTAACCACCGACAACGGCGAGCGGGTTGGTGGTTTGCCCAGCGGGTGCCGACGACTCTTTTTTATCTCCATCTTCATTTTGGAAAAAGCAGAAGCAGTCTGTAACGAACCAGAACAAGCTAGATGGGAACTCAAAAATATCTTGGCAAGCAAAGGAGAGCACAGGACAACAGAGGCAGAATCCTTCTCACAAAGAGTTCTTGAATTTACGCAGCAAACTTAGCGCTGCCTTTTCGCTGCAGTCAATAAAGCTTCCCAAGCCAATTACTGCAGTAGATGAAGCCAATGGTTTCTTAAGACACAGGGTAAAGGTAAACCACAGCGGTTTCTTAAAATCAGAACAGCTTCAAGCCTGCCAATTCCACTACTTACGGAAAGTCTGGTCGTTCACACCAACAGCTAAGAACTCTAGCACGAAAAGTATATACGGGCCATACAGGCAAACCACTGACCTCTGCAGCCACCTCTCTATTTTCTGCTTCTGCATTCTCCTCCTCCTTCACGGGGATTTCCACAGGGACCGTCTGCTCTTGCCAACTCGGGCTCTTTTGAGTAGCAAACTGCTCAAAGGCCTGTTGGCAGGACATGCGCTCCTTGTCGAACACCACCTTTTTGGTCCGTGGAACCACGTAGAGCATGGGGATGATGGGCCGGGGTTTGAAGTCATCCTCCTCGACCGGTGCCTCCGAGGGCTGGATCACGTTCAGGGGAGCTGGGGGCAGGCTCTTCTCGGCCGCGG